AGACCACTTAAGTATGATTTGAATGTTTCATTTTTCATTTCTTTGATTTTGTCATGAAGAATTTTGCTTACTCGGTTCCATTCCGTTTTATCCGTTGGGTTCCGTGTAYTATRCCATGTTCGTCTCGCTCGACGTTTATGTTGGACTAGTTTTCTTATTTCTAGTGGGTAAGTTAACTGGTGATTACCACTGATAGCTACCGGAGTTGTTATTTCTGTCGCACTAACAATGTCTTAGGTTATTTTTTTTACGGCAATATTAATATCTGCTATTGTTCTTAATCGAGTTGAAAGTATTATTTTTTTTTTGAGGGTATTTCTGAATAGGTCCCAATTTGTTTTTTTGTTTGTTATACACATTTTTTTTTGTTTCATTATCACATCAGAGCTTAATGTTTGCATAATGTTTAATTGTTTCTTTTATTATTACTGCAGTTCCTCCGTGAGCGCGATTGCTCGGATGTTCTGTTGTATATATTCGATAGCCATGTAATTTTAGAGTGGTCCACGTTGTAAATTGGGTTTCTGAAATTAAAGTTATGTCAATTTTTTCGGTATTCATAAGATGTTCAAGTTCTTGTTTTCGTTGTACAAGCCCGTTAGCGTCCCATGTTATGATTCRAAGCGTTCTACTCATTTCTTTTTCTTTTTCTTTTGCGCTTTGGTTTTCGGCTGGCTATTTTCAAGCCTGTCCAATCTCYCATTTAATTTTGTTAATGCTGACATAACGTCAGATAGTAACGGTACATTTTGGTTTTGTTGTGTATGGGTTTGAATCAGTGGACCCTTTTGATTTTTGTTTGAAGAACTAGCTATCTGTGCAAAAGAAACTTCTTGAGTCACTGGTTTCGCAGGTTTCTGTTGTATTCTTTGTACTGCTATAGTTTTTTTAGGGTGAGCTTTTTCTATTGCATTTTTATAAGTGATGCATCCTTCCAATTTTCAATATGTCCTTCACTACATTTTACACACTTTGGTGTTTTGAAACAGTAGTTTTGAGTGTGACCAAATAGTTGATAATTTTTGCAATGTGGAACTTCTTTTTTTTTTCCTTGGGGGTTCTACTTTTATTATATGATAACACAAGTTTTTAATATCATAAATATCTTTGTTGTTTGCTTGTGGTTCCAAATCCACGAAGAATAATGGAAGTCTTACTACTAGTTCTATCACTAAACTTGTTGTWATTGTCGACTTTTTTTTTATTTGAATGTTCGTGACAGACATGGGCGCCGTGTGCAGAGGGGCTCGGGGGCTACAGCCCCYCATGAGCTTGGTATAGCRGAGCTCAGCACCCCACGGCCTCACGGTTCTTATATTATAAAATAAGTCATAAGTCATAGCAAATAAATTAAGAAAGATAAAGAAAAAATGTTGGTTAGAAATATGGATAAAACGGGTAGAATAGTATACGTATTGGTCAATTATGACAGAGAAGGAGCTAAGTTGTAATATGTACTTTTTTTTAAATTTTTATATTTGGTCACCATATAATTATAGTATAATACTACATGCTATAATTATTGTAAAATGTAGCCCTCTGCCCCTCTAATCGAACGACGCGCTCCTGGTGGCAGAATAACCGTGCGACTTTTGTCGGGCCACTTTATAAACGAGCGGCTCATAGGAGTTTGGTCTCCTTATCTCTAATCTTCGTGCCCGACGTGTATGAGCACTATGAACCACAGAATAAATTCTGTGTATGAACCATANTGGCAGCTTAATTAGGTATACCTAATGCTATATCGTTATATGAAAGCACGCAATTGAAAACGCGACACACCGTGCACCTGTCACACACCGCTATAAAAAATACAGCTTTTAAAAACGCACAAAGCCCAGACTAAGCTTAACAAAATTTAAATTGGCACCAGCAATAATAAATATCAAAATCCACGCTACTGAACCCCCAGGGTCCCTAACCACGCTCTGCTACCAAWKKTTTGCGCCGGAATAGTTCTTAMAAGTATATTGGCAGTGGACTATTCCGACTCRCGTAGATTTTGAGAAAGGTGACCTTGCTAATTTACTAACAACAACTCATTCTTTTAGGCGCTTGGCGCAATAGTACATATAATGATACACGATTAACAATAATATAACAATACAATGGAATTATTGCAATAAAAATATGTATGGGCGCCCAGAGCTTACTAAACAATAATTAATAGTTAAATAATATAACATGAAATAGAATCTGATCAATACGCTTCCAMTGCGYGATCATACAAATACAAATAATACATATAAAAAAGATATATATCGCGAAGGCGATTAATAATACAAATAAAAGACACTGATAACAGTCGTCGTGTTAGCAGTTACTTATAATAATATGAAGGTGAAAACATCTGACCTGGCCGATGACRCCCGTAGCTCCACAYAACGTACTTCTCCGTTGGTTGATACYTTTAAATCCGGACAAATTAATCGGTGGGTTTGATATCTTCCAATATTACTATAATGATGTCCCCAACAGCCGAATCCCTTTCCGTGCAACTGAGACGATTTTAACAGCGCGCCGGGAGGGTTAAAGCGTAGATACGACAGGAACGGACGGGCACCATATACGTAGTCACGTGTATCGAATTGTGGCGACACAGCRTACAATAAATTATGTGAGTCCGCGATCTATGGCCTATCTCTTTCGTGCAACTGAGCCRATTAACAGTGCGCCGAAAAGAGGGTAAACAAATGTAGGTGCAACCGGAACAGACGGGCATTAGCCATATACGTAGTCACGTGGATCGTGGGTACAACAAAAAAACGGTCACCGGTATAACACGGACGACGGACCTTTTATACCGACGCACAACACCGGAGCGCTCGCCACACCGCCAGCAACAACGAACGCGGACGAGACGACCGAGACGGCGGCGACAAGTCCGCGGCGATTGCAGAGTGACCAATCGGATAGGAAGTGGCCAAATATGTTGCCCGGACTGTCGCTTGCGCCAAAACCCGCCAAAAAATGGTCGGTGTTCAAACATCCTCCCCCCGTGAGGCTCGGCATCACTGGACGTCGCTGGAATTTGAACATCGGAATATCAGAYCCGCAATTGGACATTCGATTGGTGACATATGGTGGAATCAGACTGCGAGATCGACACCGGCCTCAGGTCAGGTGATACAGTATAATATAACATAGTGATTATAAAAAAAAAAAATACAAAGAAAACTTCAAAATAAAACAAAGGACATATGGTCCGCACAACTATGATTCAAAGAAGATTAAGAATTTGGTAAAAAGTAAAACAAACCTAGTTTACAAATTTGTAATTGAAGAACAAACACTGTGTTCCATTACCATAAATAATATACAATCGCGTACGCATAAAACAGTAGTACCGGTAAAATAAAACAATTAAATAATACAAAGAACGTACATACATACCAGAAGAATATAATTAGACATAGACAATAAAAAATATAATAATAATAATATTACGGTCGCTAAAAGGTATCCAGGGTGATTCAGTAAGCGCATATGAACTTAAAAATAAACTAAGTTAGTGACAGGTGATCGGTGCGGGGAATACGTTTGATTCGAGCTTACTCATCGACGGGTAAGGGTACTAACTTGACCACAGGCCGTGTTATCGAACCAGTGCTGGTCAATACGGTTGCGACACGTACGACATTATCAGTCCCGGGGGTGACTCCTGTGACCCGACCAAGCCGCCACATTAGTGGACAACTGTGGTTATCGATAACTACGACCATGTCGTTAACGTTTATATTATCAACCCTTTGGGTCCATTTTGATCGCTCTTGAAGGGTGGTCAAATATTCGCTGGACCATCGCCTCCAAAACGCCTGATGGCATTGATCGAGTAACTTCCACCTATCTCGAACATTTCGTTGTGCGTCATTAGTGGATCTCGGGGGGACGGCTAATAAAGGCTGACCTATCAAAAAATGTCCTGGTGTTAAACACTCTAGATCTCGAGGGTCTGTGGACGCGGGTGTTAACGGCCTAGAATTAAGTACTGCCTCTATGCGAGCTAGTACGGTCGTAAATTCCTCATATGTAAAAATATGAACCCCAATGACTCGTATTAGCAACCTTTTAGTTGAACGCACTGCAGCCTCCCAAAGGCCCCCGAAATGCGGGGCACCTGGCGGATTGAAGTGCCACTCACACATGGAGCGCGAATTTGCTATAGTGACCCGACCCTCCGGACTATTGACTAACGTGTGCAACTGTTTATTAGCCCCCACGAAATTTGTGCCGCAATCTGAATAAATGTCACTAGGTAGGCCCCGCCGGGCAACAAAGCGATCGAACGCAGACAAAAAAGCGTTTGTAGAAAGTTCAGTAACCACTTCTAAATGTACAGCCTTAACGGTAAAACAAACAAACACAGCTATATATATTTTAAATGTGCGTGATTTTCGAAGTTTAAGTTCACGCATTTGCAGTGGCCCGGCAAAGTCGATGCCTACACGGCTAAACGGCCTACATTGTTGAACGCGCGCAGCTGGTAAATCGGCCATTAACGGGTGGACAGGCCGAGCGTTCAAACGCACACACAAGGTACACCGGGACATGACCCCATGCAACACCGACCTAAGTGCAATTACCCAATAATATCGCGAGATCATAGCCGCCATCACTCGTGGTCCCGAATGACACGTTAATTTGTGYCACCTTTCACATAACAACCGGGCGAAATGCGATTCTTTGGCTAAGAGTACCGGGTGCTTACAGTCATATGTTAGTAGGGAATGGCTCAATCKACCTCCTACTCTTATTACCGAGTTGGCATCAATAAAAGGTGATAGTTTTGATAACGGTTTTGAAGATATACGAATATTACGCGACAGCTCATGTCGCAACAATGCAAAATGAACGCGTTGTGAATCTAATATAAGCGCGCGGGTTGCATCATCAAGTTCCGATTTACATAGATATTTCGGGTGGGCGGACTGCGGACCTACCCGTACGGCAACAACTAAGAAACCGGCGGACGCGCGCTACCACACGTACCATGCGATCAAACGACGAAAAGCGAGTACACCATTCGGCGCGCACGTCCTCGACAGTGGTARTACAGACTACAGGTCGGATTTCGGGTGACCCGTCAACAATGACTGACGGCGGCACTTGTTTCCATCCCGACACATCTGTATAAATTAACGGCGGCCCATTCCAATACAAAGTTAATCGCGCCAAGGCTGACGGCATAATACCCCGTGATGCGCAGTCGGCCGGRTTATCGCCCGAGTCTATGTGGTGCCACTGGCAAGATGGCATTAAGGTCTGTATCTGATGTATGCGGTTGGAGACATACGTTTTGAATGTCTCGTGGGGACTCGTCAACCACGACAACACTATATTCGAGTCAGACCACGCGTGGAGGCCGACTATATTCAACTGCGATGCGAGAACATCACGGATACGCCCTAGCCACCGGGATAATAGAACAGCCGCGTTTAATTCGAGGCGTGGCACTGTTAAGGGTTTAAGAGGTGCTAACTTGGTTTTCGTACCTAATAAAAAAATACAACTTTCCGGAGGGGCATCCATGATACGCGCATAAACAACAGCCGCATACCCGCGCTGCGACGCGTCACAAARCCCTAACAAAATACATGGCGCATTATGACGTGATTGTATGTACCGCGGAACTCGAATGGCGCGCAATGACGATAAATCCGTGACAAAATCGAACCACTCCGAATGGATATCGGCGGGAAGCGGGGCATCCCAAGGTAACCTCATGTGCCATGTCCGCTGCATTATGGTTTTTGCCAAAAAGGTTGACGGCGCGAATAAGCCTAGCGGATCAAATATTCGAGCGATTAGCGATAATATACCTCGTTTTGTATATACCGGGGCCGGTTCTAGGCGGAGCGCACAACAAAAACTGTCTGTATCAGGATGCCACTCAATACCTAACACCTTGGTACTACACACGTCGATCGTATCGAATGGCAACGGACCTGAACCTCTACTATCGGCAGGAATCACGTTTAGTATCGATGGCGTATTGGTCGCCCACTTTTTTAACTCTAAGCCGGATTTCTTAAGTACAGTGATTAAATTAGATTGCAATTCCAGTGCCTCATCAACTGAGTCTGCGCCCACACAAATATCGTCTACATACGTTTGGTGTTCTAACGCGTGACGTACGGACTCGAAGCCGCCGCAATCGTCGGACGCGATTGCACGTAACACGCGCAATGCGAGGAACGGCGCGCAGTTTACACCATAAGTGACTGTATGAAGTACGTAGTCCTGGAGTTTGTCATGTGGGGACTCTCTCCACAGTATATATTGATATTTTCTATATTCGGGTAAAACTAAAATTTGCCTATACATTTTTACGACATCGGCCGTAAAGGCATGACGATAAACGCGTCAGGATGTCAACGATGTCATTTTGTAGCTTCGGGCCGGGTAATAAATTACTATTTAATGATGGCCCACGAAAACCGGTTGCGGACGCGTCAAAAACGACTCGTAATTTCTTATCGCCGTCGTCGGGGCGATACACGGCATGATGCGGAATGTAATAGACTCCTGGCGATGTAGCGATCGACATGTGTCCTAACAACGTATATTCCCGCATAAAATCAATATATAGTTGTCGGAGTTTATGGTCACCCGATAGCTTGCGCTCTAATGATTCAAAACGACGTACGGCGACATCTCGTGAGCCGGCGAAAACGTCATCGGACACCGGTGCACGAAACGGTAACGGTACCGAGAATCGACCTGACGGAAGGCGTACGCTTTCGGCGCGGAAAATAGACTCGCAGCGCCCCTCGTCGGTGAAACATTCGGGCGCGGCTACCGGCTCCTCTACGTGCCAGAAGTTCTCCATCAACCCTTCAATAGATACTAAAGATACCGGCATTGAATGATAGATTGGCAAATCGATGTTGTTAACGGGGCCAATCAGAACCCACCCAAACACTGAACTGAACGCCGCAGGTAAATTTTCGTCGACTACCACTTTACGACCGTCCATTATTGACGGAAATACGTCCCCCCCTAGTAACAAGTCGATAGGAGAAGTAATGTCAAAAGACGGATCGGCCAATGCGAGATTCGCATATCGGCCTTTGACAGTTGAWGGMAACGTATTGCGCGGCATATCACCCGTAATTGCCGGCAACACCCACGCATGTATATTCAATACGGGTTCGACCGCGAAACGAGGTTGTATGGAGAACTCGACGCGACCTTTCACATCTACAATGGGCACGCCACCTAAACCGGTTACCGGGGAAGTCCAACGATCGCATTTCAGACGTAAACGTTCCGTGCACGCGACTGTAATGGCGCTAATTTGCGAAGCAGAATCTAATAACGCGCGCATGGTGTGCCATGTACCCGTCCGGTCGCGTGTGTGCACTAAAGCGGTACCTAGTAATACTGCAGTAGACTTTGAAATCGGTGCCGCGGCCGACGCACATAATGGTGCRTCCGTGCGGAGGTTGGTATCAGYGCCGCGCGTATCGACCGATGATTTGTGAATGAGGTGGTGATGCTTACGGTTGCATTCGGTACATTTATATTTCGACTTACATTTATTGGCCCAATGATCAGCGCTCAGACATATGAAACACAATTTCTTTTCCCGTAGCCAACGAACACGATCGTCAACCGTCCACGATTTTATACGGTTGCACGAATCTAGTGCATGAGGTTCGGAGCAGCATAGACATACTTTACTTGGGCTAGTGGTAACGAATGAAGATTCCGTGTATAAAGACCCGGACTTGCGAATTCGATCTCCCCCCTTACGGGATTGAGTGACCTGGGAGGCATTTTTTGACTCAGACTTCGTCACCGTGTTGACCACATTTGACTTACGTGGCTGATCTCCGGCAATTTCTAACACTGCAACACGCGACTTGACAAACTCTAATAACTCACTCATTGAGGGGAAATCAGTTGAAGTCTTCGTTTCAAACAACTTACGGGTGTACAACGGAAGCCGGCGAAATGCAAGCGCGAATAAAATAAACGAACCTAAATTCGGGATATCTAGTGCGTCTAATAATGATACGCATTCGCTGAATACGCTCATAAAATGGCTCAACTCGGACAATGACTCCTGGGTATACGACGGGAAATCTAATAATTTATCTACCAAGGTTGTTGCGACCATTCTGGGACGGTTGAATCTATTCGCTAGTGTTGACCAAGCCAAATCGTAATTATCGGACGAAATTGGTATACTGCGTACCGCGTCCGCGGCCTTGCCGTGCAGACAACCGATTAGATAATACATTTTATCTATAGTAGTTAAGTTGGACCTACACTCGACCAATGCCTTAAACCTATCACGGAACGTAGGCCAATACCGAAAATCACCATCAAAGGTCGGTAATGGTATTTCCGGGAGGCGCGAAAACGAGCTGGGCGGACCACTAGAAGCACCTGGCTGACTAACTACCGGCTTATCATGCGACTGGGGGTTAATAAACGACATGTCAATAAGCTCGGCACCTTTCGGGGTCACCTTTAGGGCAATCGCCTTCGACTCAGTAATAAGTCCGCGAACCTCCGAAGGTAAATCAACAGCATAATTGTCACTTTCACCCAATCTAACTAACGAGTCTAGGACAGTGTCATCTTCAAGTTTAAACTGCRTCCAAAGTGTGTCCAAATCRGTAACGGCCACCAAAAATTGTGAGGCTAAATCGGGCTCACTAACGACGCGTAATGCCATGCTATGAACCGACCTAATATTAGACACCGCGGTATTACGTTTTATCGTAGCGAACGATTTAATTCGTTTTACGCGGTCTATCTCTTGTTCGGCGACGGACATTATGATAGATAAAACTTCCCCGCGTCGAACTCAAAATAAAACCRTGGCAGCTTAATTAGGTATACCTAATGCTATATCGTTATATGAAAGCACGCAATTGAAAACGCGACACACCGTGCACCTGTCACACACCGCTATA